ATGAAGCCCCAACGTGATGCTTTAGCTGTTCGAGTTGGGCAAAGAACTAAGATCAGCACTGTCCAACAGAACCTTCTGGGATGATGAAAATGTTCTGGACCTGCACTGTCCAGTACTGCAGCCACTGGCCAAATGTGAGGCTACTAAACACTTGAAATGTGATTAATGTCACCAAGAAACTCACTTTAAAATGTTATTCTTAATGTTTAAATTTAACTAACCACATGACTAGTTGCTACCGTACAGGACAAGACAGCTCTAGACCCTCTCCCCTAAGGATCAGTTTAAACGAGAACAGAGTGTAAAATATAAAAATATTTAACACAGTGGCACCTTAAAGCTAAGAAAACTTGCAATGGACCTAAAACAGTGGATTGGGTTTTCTTGCGTTTTTGACTTGTACTATCCACTGAACCATGCATCCTAGCCCAAAACCAGTAGTCCCCACACACAACCCTGCCGGCCACTCCACCCTACCAGCAGCCCCCAGGCACTTTAGACTAATAGGGCTCTGTGGAACATAATCTGAACGCCTTGGATGTTGACCAAACCTTTTACCAGCTGACCTGAGACCCCAGCGGGCCAACAAACCTGCCTAGAACCACATCCAGGTTTCACCCCTGAAAGCTGTACCAAGACCTCATCCCCCAATCCAGGGCTCTTGCCAGCTAAACCCAGTGGTGAAATAAGACTTATCAGCCTGCAGCACTGTATACCTTTAATTCCAGGACTCACTTGGGGACCCGCTTTGTTCCTAAGTACATGGGCCTCAATGACACTTGGTTAAGTGAAGGCAGCCAGCCAGTATTACCAGATGGGGACAGAATGTTTATTATTGACTATTGCAAACTATCAAACCGAGTTGTAGAAATGTCAAAAACAAGGACCTGGACAGAACAAAGACCATTTAGTAGGAGGACAAGGAAGTTAAGGAATGGGACAACTTGAAAGCTACTTATTACTAAAAGCCAGACCTTGGAATGCTGAATGGTAAACACACTCCTTCACTCCAACAATCTGTTTAGACAGCAACAGAAAGATTAGGAGAAAAGCCATGGATTTGACTATGCCTTGGTTCTTCTCACAAAATCCCTCTAGAGGACCTAGTTTAAATGCAAACCCACACCTGTCAGTTTCTCTACCCCTCAATTTGTATTTCTATTGGCCACTGAAACAACCCTGAACAACGCCCAGAGCTCCACTCTCCTCAATTGTATTCAGAGGAGTGAAGATTAAAGGATTAAAGAGGTGCTTGCTCACAACTCACCTAGCACAGTAACTATCAAGGAATTTTAGTTCCCACATCCCCAACTATGACTTCTCCAGCCACATTGTCATACTCAAAACGCTGTCACTGATCATGTTTCCCACCACCCAGGTTTAAAATTAGGTACCAGAGCCAGGCTGGTGTGGCTGGTGTGTCTCAGTGGTTTGAGCATCATCCCAGGAACTGAGAGGTCCTGGTTCAATTCCCGGTCAGGGCACTTGCCCAGCTGTGGGCTTGATACCCAGTGGGAAGCGTGCAGGAGGCAGCCAATTGATATTTCTCTCTCGCATCAATGTTTCTCCCTTCCTCTCTCTTTAAAAAAAAAAAATAATAATAAAAACATTTTTTTTTTTTTTAATTAGGTGCCCTGGCTGGTTTGGCTCAACGGTTAGAACATCAATCTGTGGACCAAAGAGTCACAGGTTCGATTCTGGTTAAGGGCACGTAGCTTGGTTGCAGTTTGGTGCCCGGCCCTGGTCGGGGTCCATGAGGGAAAGCAACCAATCGATGTGTGATGTGTCTCTTTCACATAGATGTTTTTCTCTCTCCCTCCCTCCCACTCTATCTGAAGATAAATGGAAAAATATCCTCGGGTGAGGATTTAAAAAAATAAAAATTAGGTACCAGGGCCTGCAGGTTTGCTCAGTGGAGTGCCACATATGATGGGTAGTTAATGTTAAATAATAATAAACTGAAACCTGAGGGACACATGACACCAGAAAGGGATGAGGAAGAAACAGAAATTGCCCTCGAAAGCAAAGATTAGGATTAAAATACATCTCACATAGATTAGCAACTCAAGCAGTATGACACGATTTAAATGGGACAAGAGGTCCACAGGATTCGGCACCTCCCCACAGCAGAGTATTTCTCAGAATGGCAAGCTGAAAAAATTAACTTGTGCACAAAACTATCGACTTCCCACAATAGCCCAACAGACCAAGCTGCAGAGAACCCTCTCATTCTAGACTCACAGGGAAGATTAGGAAGGAGTGGCCTGGGGACAATGGACTGGAAGGCACCAGCTCACCAGGCACAGGGGGTGCCCACTCCTCAAAACCCTGAAATGAGCACTCGACAAGTCGTATTTGTTGCAGGCTAGAGCCAGGAGGCTGGCTGGTGGTGTGGGGAAACCAATTTCTTTTCCTTTTCCTTCCAACTAAGTTTACAGGCCAGAAGCTGAGGGAGGGTACTTGTAATAAAATTCAAATTACTAAGAGATTCAAGAGAAAATGTCAGTCTCGGAAATTCTTTAGGAGAGAATAAAAACAAGGCTTGAGCACCCATCATGCACAGTGCCAGGTCTCGCAAACATCATTTCAACTTGTCTTTAGGATGAGGAGAGGGAACACTGTGAAGCCTAAAACTAGTCTTCACGCACAAATGATGGTTAGGACACAGGCTCAAAACCCACCAATAACTTTGGTTACCAGGTCGAGAAAAACAAATTGCTTTAAAATATTGATGCTCAGCAACCTTACACTGGAGACACATCCACTTGGCACGTGAGCAGGCCACTTACAGACACCTTCACTGTCACCCAGCAGTGGCCACGTGTAAATATATTTCCAAGATACGGCTGGGAGGAGCAACTGATAGTCACAAGGCTCCAGCAAGACACAAATCCATTAGACTAGTCTCCTTTACAGGCTTGGATGGGATCAATTAACTACCTGCAGATTGTAGGCCCATCATCTAAGAATACTCATGACAATAGAGCCTATTTAATCCAGGTCAACAATGAAGCTTCAGTGATTTGCATACCTGTAGAATCCAGAGGACCTCCTCTGGCCTCAGTGACTGCTTCTGATAATATACACAGGAATCACTACCCAAAACCCATAAAACTAGTTAAGAGGTGAAAGAGGGAAGAGTCAACATAAGTCAAAAAGCTCCTAAAACATAACTTCATATGCTTCCAGTGCTCAGAAATCTTAAATAAGCAGGTGAACCACGTGCATGCCAAGAACAGAGGAATCTGATATATATCTATACCATGCATGCTGCCCTTCTATTCATTTCAAAGATGCTCTGTACCTTTAAGAGCAAAGAGGATGGGTGGTGCTTACTAAAAGTCCAAGTTTTGCTTTCTAAATAGTTAAAAAAAAACAAAAAACTAATTTGGTAAGAAGTTAGTTACCAGTGCACGCTAAGCTTACTGTTTGCCAGAATTAATAGCTTATTGTGAACAGTGTTCCTTCATCAGTAATTGGGACAAAGGGAGGGAGGGGGCAGTAATAGCAAACCAATGAACAGATATGATCATACCAGGTGTCCAGCAGTCCAGATTTCCCTGCAGGAGATACATTTAAACACCAAGTAGCCCGAACTTCAGTAGGGGAAAGACAGCTAGCTTAATCTAATTGCTCCGCCCATGCACTCTACCCGGCTTGAGAGGCCTCCACTCACACCTGGAATGAAGTGCACCGGGTTTGTGTTAGCGGCAGCGGAGGGGCAGGAAAGCGCCGGCCAACCCCGGCATCACCGCTGGAGGGGAAAATCGCGAAAGACCCAGGGCTTACACGCAGTCCCGGGTCGGTTCTGCACCGCTCACCACCAACAGCTCCTTTCTTCCCTAAGCCTCCCTTGGAGGGGAAATGGGAGGAACCGCACCCTAGGGCACAAAAGAGTTCAACTGGATAAAGGCCGCGCCAAGGAATACAAGACGAAGGTCTCTGCAAGCATTTTGAGACACGGATCCGCGAAAGTCGCTCGGTCCCTCCAGACCGCCAGCAGAAGGTTGCGGGGTGCCAGCCGAGGGCGACACGTGACCTACGCGCCCTGGGGCAAGAAGTCAGCGGGCACATCAGGCAGGGCCGGACGGCCTTCACCCCTCCGGTCACCCTTAGGGGTTCAAATGCTAATCCTCTAGAAAGACACCAAGCCTTAGACCTCAGGACCCTAACTCGGTTCTAACGGTCCCTCTGCCCAAAACTGGGATCAAATCACAACCGGTCACCTAGCCCATCCATCCCATTCGGCAAACCGAGCCCCTTCCCAGCGTTCGCTACACTGAACTCCCAGGGCCTGGGCTAACCTGCTCAGGTTTGCCACCGTCGGGCCTAGGCAGGGAGCAACCCAGGAGCCAAAGGGGCCCTGAAGTTGGGTGAGGTTCCAAAAGTGACCATACAACTCCAACCCCACAGGAGGGAAAAAGGGGTGCCCGCGGGCCTCGGGGCACCTCCTCGCCCTCGAGCACCTGGCCCTGCCCACCGCCCGCTCGGCCGCCGCCTCTCCCGGCTCAGGCTGGGTGCACACGACCTTTGAAAAGTAAACGCGTGTGAGTTGGGCGACCTTGGGTGGGACGCGCTCCCGTCTGTTTCACAGGAGGGTGTGCGCGCTCCAGGAAAGTTAAGCCGCAGAGGGGTGGCCCGGGCGTCGCGTCTTCACCCCCCGCCCCCGAGGATGGTGACGCGCGTGGGGGGCACCGCGTGGGTGCAGAGCGCCGCTCCATCCACGCACTCGCGATCTGTCAGTAGGAGCCGACGGGCAGACAACCCAGACTGGGAAGATGAGGGGGCGCGCAGGCGACGGAAAGGAAAGGAGGGCCTGCTTGACAGCAGGCGGCGGGCCGGAGCCTCTCCGTCCGCTCTCGGCGCCCGGAGCCTCCGGCAAGCAAGACACCTGGAACGCGCATCGCACTCCGCACCTGCACCCTAGGCTCCCCATCACCACGACGGCGTCTCCCTCCAGCCCAGGCAGGTGATCCTCGGGCTAGCCGGCCCCAACTTACCAGCTCCTCGGCGACCGTCGGGATCCAGTCCTCGCCCGCCGCCGCCCCCCGACCCGCCTCAGCCCCCGAGGTCCAGCCCCACAGACTGCGCTCGGGCCGCTCCCCCACGTGCTCGCCCAGGCCGTTGGAACACAGAGACATTAAATACTGAGGACGCGCAGCGACGTGCCCGCGGCACAACGCAAGGCCCCGCCTCCCGCCCTCATGCCCCCGCTCTCGCCCAGCTCACCTGCGCGTGCGCGCCGCGGGCCGCTCCCGCCTGCGCCTCTCCCAGCTGCGCCAGAGGGGGCGCGGTCTGGAGCGCTCCGCCAGCATTCCGCTGCCGCCATCCGCAGCCGGGCTTTGCTCGAGCTCTCGCGAGATAGTCTGTAACCTCGGCGGGCTTTGGGATATGGGCCGGGCTGGAACCTAGCGAACCCGTAGGGCTTCGAAGCTCTGCTCAGCGAGCCCAGCGCGGGTTCCCCTGCCTCACCTCTAGGCCGTCTGGAGGGGTCAGTTTGACCATTTATTTGCCTGCCTCGGCACCTAGAGCCCCCTGGAAAAGGCGGAGGAACCGGTGAGAAGCTGGGCTCTCCAGGCTTTCCTGTAACCATCACTACCTTGTAATGCATAACCCGTAATGCATAATGCAACTACCTTGTAATTGCTCAATTACATAATGGGAGTACCTGGTACCACTCAAATGCAACTGTCTTGCCCATTTCACAACTTGATAATCGAAGTGAAACAAACATTTTCCTCTAAATGGGTTTGGGTTTTGGAATATTTCCTGCCAAGAGAGTCCCCGTGAGTCACTAACTCCTCCAGGAAATCTTGGGAAAATAAATTGCCCGACAAGTCGACAGGGCGGGGTTCTGCTGGCCAGGCCTGCTCTCAGTCTTAAGATATAGGGACTTTAAGTGAAAATTTATCGAGCAAAATATAGAAAAGAGATCATACTAAGAACTAATCATTACTTGCAAAAAATACTTAATCTTCACTAGTGATTAAATGCAAATTTAAATGACAATGAGATACCATTTATCTATTGATAAGTTTTAAGTATAAATTCATATAGGTGTGCGTGCGTGTGTGTGTGTGTGTGTGTGTGTGTATCTCCCAATTGCTGGGTGTAATTAGAGCCATGAAGAAAACAAATAGGAAACTGAAATAGAAATATATGAAGAGACCTATTTTAGGTCCTGTGGTTTGAAATGGCCTTAGGTGAAATTTAAACCTACTGGATGAGAAGGAGCTGGCCTTGCAAATTGTACATGGGAATAAGGGTTGGGAAGTGTTTTCAGCGGAGGCAACAGCACAGACAAAAGCAGGAAACAACTTAACGGGAAAATGACAGATCAGGGTGGACGGAATATAGTCAGGTGGGGAGAATGCTCAGAAAGGGGCTTGGAGAGGTAGAGGGAGAAGGATATTGGGGGGATGGCAAGGGAACTGGGCCATCTTATAAACCATTTATTCTATAACCCATCATAATAAAACTTGGATTTTATTCTATTCTGCTCAGCCCCAAAGCCAGGCATGCTTCTAACTCAGGGCCTTTGCACTTGCCGTTCCCTCGAACTGGAATATTCTGCGGAGTTCACTCCCTCACTTCTTCCAAGTCCTTTGCTCAAAGGTCACCTACTCAGTCTCAGTGAAATCTTCCCTAGATTCCCTATTTAAAATTGGGACCACATACACACACTTTCCTGTCCTTCAGCCTTTTATTTTTTTTCTTCATAGAACTTAGCCCTATTTACATACTATATACCTCATTTATTTCATGACAGGAGGCATTCTTGAGGGCATGGCACATAGAGGGCACTCAGTAAAAATATGTGTAGTGAGTAAATGGGAAGCCATTCAAGAAGGTTTAGTAAAGAGTTGCACAATATAATTTGTTTTTAAAAAGGATCTATAGCTGCTGTGGAAAGAAGGAGCTGGAGAAAGACCAGCATGGAAGCAGGGAGACCCGTGGAGAGGCCGCTGCAGTAGTCCAGGTGAGAAACGATGCTGACCTGAGCTGGGAGTCATGGCAATGGTATGAAGACACTGCTTTGGACTCAAAACACATTTTGGAAATAGTAACAAGACTCGCTCGTGTTATTGGCGGGTAAGGAAAAGGGAACAATGAACGATGCTTCCTCTGTCTTGAGTTACTGTGTGAAATGGGGTGCCATTTATTGAGATGGGAGAGACAGTGGCATTTTGGACCCATTAAGTTTGTACTGTTTTGTGACATCTAAGTGCAAATAGCAGTGAAGTTGGATATGCAAGAATGGACCTCAGAGGAGTGGTCTGGGTGGGAAATATAAGTATGTATTGAAAATCATGTAAAAAATGGATATTTTCAAGAAAGACAATGCCCTGATGGTGATGGGGGTAAGAAATGTCTATAAGAAGAAACTGAGAAAATGATGTGTGAGTGGGTGAGGGTAAAGTCCTAGAAGTGTTGGTAAGAAAAAATGGGGAGAGGGAAAGTGTAGAAGATGGAGGGAAACAAGGAATATGGTTATGAGAAGGAGGGATGGAAAACAGAACAAATGAGACCAATATGTCAGTCATATTCTATGAGTGGGGACATGGGCAAAGCCTACCAGGATAAAAGGACTGGGGGCGGAGGTGTGGAATAACTGGAGTACTGGGGAAAGTACAAGACACAAATCAAAGGGGAAAAGGTGAGAACATAGAGTTAACTGTATTCACAGCAAGGGATCAACCCAGCAGCTGTAGCTGAGGAGGTGGCCACAAGGTCAGGGCAGTTCGGAGGTCACAGGGTGGCCCTAGTATAAGATTAGAAGGTGGAGGAATAAGAAGGGAGGTGAGGGTGGAAGATAATCCTAAGAGCTTAGCTTTGAAGAAAATAAGATTACATCATTAGACTTTCACTTTAACATCAGCTAAAAATGGGTAGAGGTCTTCTTAAGGCAGGGATTTTGACCTAGGATGCTATAAAACAGCTTCAAGGACATCCATGAGTCCCCCCAAATTCCTCGTATGGTTTTATAAGTATGGCGCTTTTCTGTGGAAATGGTTACGGAGAGCTTCTATGTGATTCTCCAACTGTGACTTTAAAAAAAGGAAGAGAGATCAGAGAAATGTGACAGAAGAAGAGGTCAGAGACAGTCGGAGCATGAAAAGAGCTCAGCCCACCTTTGCTGGCTTGAAGGTGGTGGGGGCCTGGGACCTGGGAAAAAAAAAGAATAAAAACCTGGTAAGTGGAGCAACACAAGCTGTAACACTGTATCTAAAGAAGGAATCTGTCAGTCAGAAGGAGGAGGTGAAAATAAAGCACACAAAAGAGAAGTAGGCAGTGCTCATGTAAGAGGGAAAGTACCCAATTCTATCTAATCAAGAAGCTGTCCTCTCTGACGAGTGGAAATAGATCAGAACCCCGACAGTATTATTCCTTTAAATCCTGTAACACAAGCCCCTCATTCTGACTCTTTACCCACCAAGCAACTTTCTGATAATTCTCTCCAAGGAAAGAAGCTGTGATTGAACCTGTGGAAGGCACCGGTCCACCTGACAGGTGGATATTTATCATTGTAAATTATGTAAGTGGCCCTCCTGTTTTCTGAAGCTTGAACATCTTGTGAATGTTTTTGGTTTGAGTGAGCTTTCAGTTCTGGGACTCGAACGTGATGAAATATCTGAACTTGTCATGAAACTGAGGGAGGGCTTGCTACAGGACCATGGGGAAATTTCATTAAAACATCACCTTGGGCCCAGCCAGTGTTGCTCAGTGGTTTAGCATCAATCTGTGCACCAAGAGGTGGCTGGTTTGATTCCCAGTCAGGGCACGTGCCTGGGTTGCAGCCTTCATCCCCAGTAGGGGGTGTGCAGGAGGCAGCCAGTCGATGTTGATGCTTCTCTCTCTGTCTCCAAAAATCAATTAAAAAAACATCATTATAGGAAGCTCCTTTTAAAAGTCAGCCAGTTATCTTCTCTTGGCAGCCCCTTCAACTTCAGGGGCACGTACTTGAGAAACATCCTCCCTTTCCCATTGGAACCTTCTACAGAAGAACTTTTTTTTTAGTGCTAACAAATATAAACTGTCTTTACTCCTTCTGCTTAACTGAATAAACAAGTGAAACTAAACCTGTCTCTCTCCCCCCCACTCCGTGATCCCTTCAACTGAAGAGCATTTGGTTATGCCCCAGGACCATGCATGTCTGAGGGAAGAGTAAATGATCTGCTCCTAGAGAAGTCAATGGAAAGAGTTAGGGAATAACAACACTGTCAGCTAATACATGCCTCGCACTGTGCAAAGTACTTTATTCTAATTCTTCATCAACCTCAAAAACCACTGTATTCCCGTTTTATAGCGCTTAGTCACACAGCAGTAGAGGCAAGGTTTTAACCTGAGAAATCTGATGTGGAGCCCATGTATTAATCAACTCGCCGTACTGCTGCTGGTGGCAGACCTAGATATCCAGGAAGCAATTTTATATAGGAAATGTGTGCTATAGATTGAATTATGTCTCCCCCGAAAAGGATGTGTTGAAGTCCTAACCCCCAGTACCTGAGAATGTGACCTTATTTAAACACAGGGTTGTTGCAACTGTAATTAGGGAAGCTGAAGTCACGCTCGAGAAGATTGGCCCCCTAATGCAATATGACTGGTGTTCTCATAAGAAGATGGCCATGTGAATACAGGGACACGCGGAGAACACCCCGGGATGACCAAGGATGGCTTTATACATCTATAAGCCAAGGAACACCAAAGATTGCCAGCAAACCACCAGAGGCAAGGAAGAATTCCCCTAAGATCTCAGAGGGAGCATGGCCTCCTGACACCTTGATTTTGGACTTCTTCCCTCCATAAATGTGAGACAATAAATTTCTGTCATTTGAGCCACCCAGTTTGTGTTAATTTGTTACAGCAACCCTAAGAAACGGATACAGTGCCCTTCTCTCTTGAACCTATAGATGCCAGATGGTAAAAGGAAATGTAAAGTCATTCAGCAGGTGATCAAAGGGGGCTGTCCCCTACCCCCACTCTGGACCCAAGATGTCATGGCTTCACCAGGCAGAGGCCCCATCCAAGTGGCTAGGA